GAAAATCCTCGCTGACCCCAACCATCCTTTACAAGGTGATTTATCTAAATGCTGCTCTCACACGTCTACACGTTCTTCTTATCGATTATTACCCTCTCGCATTAGTCTCTACAAAAATTTCCCCGGTTCCCTATCTTGCCAGAAATCCTTGTAAACCGAGAACGCGCTTCCTCAGAATTTCTCAGTAAGTTTAAAGGCTAAATATTTTACTTGTATCTTTCCTTCTATTGATGAGATGTGTAAATTTTTGACTGAAATGCGAACATTCTGTTCTCGCAAAAGTCTATACAAATACGAATGCAAATACAAACATGGAAACAGTGGAAATTTTGACGATGCCACGTAAGTTTTGCCATGAGAGTAAAGCTTACTATTTTAATCGGAAGAATTTCGAATTCATATATTCCCTCATCGGTGTTCAGAGTGGAGTTACACAGTGTATGTATATTCGAGTGGATATCAGAGAATTTCAACCAGTTATCAGACAATTGCATAAAACCTCTCTCCAAAAGTGTAGAAATATTACAACGATAGGCTACCCCCGAGTACCTAAATTATAGAACACTCTATAAAGGTATGGAACTACTGAACTGCTATTACATGTCGTCTCATGAAACAGAACATGTTCGGTGTAATTGGAATTGAGGAAATTTATTTCCTCACTACATCCCTACTACAGTCGAACAACTCAAAATTTTCCGTTTAGGAAATTTTAGGTAAACCTCATTCAAACAAACGTTAGTAGATAGCTTCTTAGGAATGAGTGGTAGATAAATAAATGATGATTCGAGGGTGTTCCTTAGATTTTTATTACCCATCATTGTATGGTGAACAGCAGGAAAGATGTGACCTCTCACTCACGCCACGCGTGTAAAGATCCAAAATCTGATTTGATCTGACTTGATGTGACTGGCTATTCACTGAGGCGAACAGGTGAAGAAAGCCCCGGGATTTGGAGTGATGATCCATATGGTAATCCAACCGGATAGATGTGGTATTGAAACAATAACAGTGAAGCGATCTAGCAACAAATTTAAACACCGGTGACAAGGTTCAAACCTTGGATTGGACTTCACAGCTCGAAGCAGGTCAGTGATAACGACTTAAACAGTTTGACTACAATCATTAGTCACACATGCATAAAAAGAATCAACGGCCTCGAAACTGCCCCAGCAGATGCGATAAACAAACAGGTGATTAATAAAATCGTCTTGATAAAAGTTACCCACGGTAACCGAAACGTCGGCTTTTTTTCACCTGTACCGACAACACTGCTTTCAAAATTACCACTTGTATAAAATCATCATTTAGTTATTTTGAAGACTGAGGTCTTGTGTTGCAATTGCGAAAAGTTCGGTAGCCTCGGTGAAAATCATCTATCTATCTATCTATCTATCTATCTATCTATCTATCTATCTATCTATCTATCTATCTATCTATCTANCTTTCTAACCATTTTCTCGTTCTGCTTATTCTCTATGCCTCGCACCAAAGTACCCACTTTCATCATGTGACTTACTTGGGCAAAACTAAGCGCACCTTCATCTCCAATCCGGTTGCCGGTGAGATCCAAACTGAGCAATTTAGTGTTTGCTGTAGTCAGTGTGCCCAGACGCATGGCCATTTGACAGGCCTCGGCCGGGCCAAGAGAACAATGACGAAAACGTAATTTCGTGACGCTGTGGAATAGTTGGATAAGAGACGATAAATGATCGAGATTAATTTCTCTCCGAAATCTGCTTGACTTGAGACACCAATGCGGAGCGTATAGCGCTTTCCAGTTAATTCAGATGACGTAAACTTTAGTGGAATAGTTCTAGACTGTATCTGAAGTTGTGGTTAGAATGCAAGCTTTCATTAAATATCAAATTCAGATGTTAATTAGAACATTACGACTCGGGAAATTTGAGTACTTGCACTGATAAAAACGGAAAGACGTGTGTTTAGTTGATTGATATTTTAATATTTTTATTATACACCTTAGCGTGATGATGTAAACCCCAGAGTCACCAAGAGCTGCGGTTCTTTGATATAAATCGGAAACCTAGGTTCCGCGGGAAGTGAATTGACAAGCCACATAAGTTCCCACTAGGTTAGGCACGGTATTGAACCGGACGATAGCAGAGCTACCTGCACCACCAAAGCTGAGTGGCGCTGGTGGTGATCAAAACTCAAACCACAAGGTCCAAAGCATGCCGGTGACACCGACGAAACCGATCGCCATCTGGTACCTTCACTGATGTTAGTCAGTCAAACAAGAAACGATGAATTAAAAACGAGTTATTTATTTATCTGTTCAATTGAGGAACCGAAAGTGGTAGCTGTCAGTCGTCGAAATAATAATTTGCCAACTGGCAGTTTTAAATACCACCTACTTTCGAATAACATCCAAANTCGAAAAGCGTCAATGAGCTAAACTGTAATTTATTTGGTTGCTTGTTCCAGAACTACATCAATTCACCGGGGAGAGAATTCGATTTCCCAGTTACTGTTTAAAAGAGTGAGTGCACGAGAGAGATCGACTGACACTCGATCACTCAGTCAGTGACCAGCAAACAAACTGCACACCAGTTCTTCTCTACCTTCTCCTCGATACTGTGCTCATCTGAGTTTGATCGATTAAGCTGATAGGTGCTGCTCACTCGTTAACATTTTTAAACACTGTATGGAAAAACTGAATATGTAACGCGGATGTATTAAAAAAAAGGTAGAACAGAATTAAATGGGAAACGGTTTCATTTTTATTTTTGACAACCATTAACCATCCAATTTCATGAGTAATTTTGAGGATAAGGCGCATGCAATTGTTTCACAAGGACCTG